CAGCTTTGTTTTCCTAATCATTGCTGCTTTAAATGGTTATGTAAGTTATTTAAGCTTTAAATTATCTAAATTATTTAAGTTTTAAAAGGTTATAGTAAACCATTGGCCCTGACTACCCCCGCTCAGGCCCTGGCTGTAGAGGGCCCCCTGAGTAGGCACAAGGACATTCTTTAAATTGTCAGCTGAGCCGAAACCGGTTTGGCTCAATGGATAGAGTGTCGGCTTGGGAACTGGGGGGACCCGGGTTCGATTCCGGTCAAGGGCATGTACCTTGGTTGCAGGCATATCCTCGGTAGGGGGTGTGCAAGAGGCAGCTGATGGATGATTCTCTCTCATCGATGTTTCTAGCTCTCTATCTCTCTCCCTTCCTCTATGTACAAAATCAATAAAATATATTTAAAAAATAAAAAAATAATAATAAATTGTCAGCTGAGCTCGAGGCACTGGCAGAGTACCTTTGTCCAGGTGTCAGCAGAGGTGGGCCTAGATATGTAAATCCAGTAATGCTAGGGCCTCGTTCAGTATGCAAATAAGCTCCTTTGACCCTACAAATAAACCTGCGTGGCTTGGGGGGTCGCCTTTGCTGCCTCTCCATCAGAGAGGTGGCGCCCACCTAGTACCCAGTTGATGAATCTGTTTCTGCCTCCTGGTCTCTTTCTTTCTTTCTTAATCCCCAGCTCCTCCACTCAGGAACCTATCGTTTTCCGTGATGGACATGGAAAACAGAGAAACAGCCCACAGCACCTGGCTACCCATATTCTCCTGTCTCCATGAATTTGACTATTCCTGGAAGCTCAAATAAGTGGAATCATATAATATTTGTGTGTGTGTGTGTGTGTGTGTGTGTGTATATATATACACGCGTGCGTGCACATGCGCACACGTGCCTGCCTTTTTAACTTAGCATAATGTCTTCAAGGTTGTTCATCCATGTTGTAGCATGTGTCAGACTTTCATTTAGATCACTTTTTGAGGTCAGGAATCATGTCAATAAGTGCGTAAGTCTATTTGAAAAAAAATTTTTTTTTTTAAAGAGGAGATATGAATGCAAAGTAACAAGACCTGCAAAACAATCTCAAAAGAAAGCCAACACTGACAGCCCCTTGCCAATAGGGTGAGCCCACAGATCAAGAGGCATACATGTGCCACAGGCTGCAGTGCCTGGTTCCCATGCTGACCTGCTGCCTCACGCACACCTTTCAGATTGTATGCAAATGCCTCTTGTGAACAACTACAATGGGGACCCCATACAGGCGAGGAAATTCTGGAAGAGGTGGTTCTCCAATGTGAACGCCACCACAGTGCTATTGGGGTGTAGTCCAGATAGGAGAGAGTTTCTATGTTGGTCAGACAAAGAGAAGAATGAAACCGTGTTTGCAACTTTACATACCTGGTGACTAGAGGAATCTTCCACAGATGGTCTCAGGGGCCCTACATTTCAAACGTTGTTTCTCTTCTGCTACCCACATGCCTCTGGTGCTAGGGGCTCGAAGGGCACTTTGTTACTGGACTATGACCTCTGACCTTTAATACCTTTACAAGGCACTCAGCACAGTGGGTAGCAGTATTCCTGGAAGCCATTTCTAAACCGGGACTGCTAAAATAACTAAACATGGAAGTGACTGCAAATCACATAAACACATTCTACTAAACCAAAACCAACTCCATCCCACTTTAATGTCTTCTTAGCTGGAGTCCCAAAATACTGCAGCCACCCCAGTGCCATCCAACACAAAAGAAATCTGAGAGGGAAAGTCGGAGTAGGCAGAGGAATTCTCTTAACTATTGGTAGTTAAATGCATTACTTTGTACAGTTTGCAAAAACAAATGACCTTGTGAACACATTGGTGGGCACTTGGAAGGCTCAACCGCCATTGGCTTTGGGAAAATTTGCCTCTGGCTCTTTCTATACAGAGCATTAGTTGAATTGATTTTGTTTTCAGCTTTTTTATTAAGAATATTTTCCAACATTCACAAAGTTGAGGAACTGCTCCTCATAATAAACCTCACTCCACCTCACGCATGCATCACCCAGCTTCGACAATTATCAGTGTTGGCTGATTTTTCTAGTGCCCACCATCATCACGCCAAATCCATTATACAATAGAGGTGTGATAAATCTGGCTCCTATACTTCTTTCTCCGATCTCTGCCAGGTTCTTACCCCACCAGATTGCTTAACTCAACAGGGTAATGGGTCTCATCGGATTATTCACCCTGATAAATGTCATATGTTTTCTTTTAATGCCCTTGGGGCAAACATACTTTATTTTCCTTTCAGTTTTGGGGACTGTGAGTAAAGACAGCTTTGACTAGCCTCAAAGGAGAAACTCCAATCCTTTTCTCTATTAGACCTGGAAAAACATCCTTCAGAATTCCACACTCATGTAGATAAAGCTTTATATAGCATTATTTAAAATATACCAACATTAGAAGACAGTTCTTAAAACCTACCAGTTTGTAATTTCATGAAGAAACTCAATAAAACCACAACATCCCTGGTGAGAATAGGCATAGCTATAATTTTTTTCAAGCATAATTGGAAAGAAATGGAATCAGCAAATTAGCCATAAGGTTCAGGACATTCTTTTTATTTTTTATTGATTTTAGAGAGAGAGGAAGGGAGGGGGAGAGAAACATCGATTTGTTGTTCCACTTTTTGTGCATTAACTGGTTGATTCTTGTATGTATTCTGACAGGGGCTCAAACCCGAAACCTTGACATATCAGGATGATGCTCTAACCAACTGAGCTATCCAACCAGGGCTGAGCCAGGGCATTATTTTTTTTTTAAATATATTTTATTGATTTTTTACAGAGAAGAAGAGAGAGGGATAGAGAGTTAGAAACATCGATGAGAGAGAGACATCGATCAGCTGCGTCTTGCACACCCCTTACTGGGGATGTGCCCGCAACCAAGGTACATGCTCTTGACCAGAATTGAACCTGGGACTTTTCAGTCCACAGGTCGATGCTCTACCCACTGAGCCAAACCAGTTTTGGCTAGGGCATCCTTAATAAGGATAACTAATATGGCAGTTGTCAGAATTATAATGAGGCTAGTGGAACATTTTCATTTTATATTTATTAAATACCTATCACTGAGCCAGGAGCATAGAGCAATAACAAGATATGCCAGGTCCATGTTTCTCAAAGAGCTAACCGTCTATTCCTGTAGATGGAGCACTAGCAGCCTTTTCAAGTGGGACTGCCCACTCAGTCCTAGCCCTGCCTCCTAAGTGATAACAATGCACCTAAAAAGCCCACCTGATTACAGTTCCTTCCCATGTTGAAAACTGCTATTTCTCCCACTGTGGGGAAAGCAACAATAAAGTAAATTTATGTCTGGCTGGCATGGCTCAGTGGTTGAGGGTCAATCCAGGAACTAAGAGGCCGTGGGTTCAATTCCTGATCAGGGCACATGCCCAGGTTGTGGGCCCAATCTCCAGTGCAGGAGGCAGCCACTTAATAATGCTCCTTTTTCTTTTTTAAAAAAATATATTTCTTTTTAAAAAAATATATTTTATTGATATTTTACAGAGAGGAAAGAAGAGAGATAGAGAGCTAGAAACATCGATGAGAGAGAAACATTGACCAGCTGCCTCTTGCACACACCCTACCGGGGATGTGCCCGCAACCAATGTACATGCGCTTGACCGGAATCAAACCTGGGACCTTTCAGTCTGCACACTGACGCTTTACCACTAAGCCAAACCGGTTTCGGCTTTTTAAAAAATATATTTCTTTATTGATTTCAGAGAGGAAGGGAGAGAGCGAGAGAAACATCAGTGATGAGAGAGAATGGTTGGCCCAGAGCTAGTGATCAATAGGGTTAATTACTTCTCATTATTATCATCACCATCAATTCCCTTCTTAAAACTTTTAGTGGTTTCCTACGGGAAGCATTTATAGTAAAACCTAAATTCTTTACTACAACCCTGATCTGATACCTGCCCGTCTTTCCAGTCTTGTTTCACTCTCCCCGCCTTCATTAAGTGCACTAAGCCCCCTCCCACATCAGGGCCTTGGAACATGTGGATCCCTAGCTCCAGAACGCTCTAAGCTTATTAATTAACTCAATATATACTTATAACAACCCTCAGAGGTAAGTACCATTTATAGTCTTATCTTTTAGAGGAGGAAACTAAAGCACTGAGAGCTTAAGTAACTTTCCCAGTCACACAACTAGTAAACTCTGTTTTAATCCCTTAGCAGTTTCCCGAATATGAAGCCGGAGGAGCTGTTTGCTGAAAGACTGGCCAGAGTTTCAGGGGAAGGTTATGTTTCTGGCTCAGACAGCTGCCTATTACAAGCATATACTTCCCATAATGGATTGTTCACCAAGGCATGCACCAGGTGACACTCACGAACTTTTTAAAAAATACATATTTTTTTTATTGATTTTTTACAGAGAAGTAGGAAGAGGGATAGAGAGCTAGAAATGAGAGAGAAACATCGACCAGCTGCCTCCTGCACACCCCCTACCGGGGATGTGCCCGCAACCAATGTACATGCCCTTGCCCAGAATCAAACCTGGGACCTTTCAGTCCGCAGGCCGACCCTCTATCCACTGAGCCAAACTGTTTAGGGAGCTCACAAACTTTTTAAGGCAGGATTTTTCACAACAACAACAACACATTTCAAGAAAATGTGTCCTGTACAGGCTAGAAAATGCAAGGCGTGTCAACAGCCGTATTGAAACCCCCACAAGCACGGGGAGAGTTGGATTCAGTCTGCAGAAAATCTGCCCAGGAAGGAGCTCCCCAGCAGCTCAGCCTGGGAAGTTCTGATCAGGGCAGGTGCGGAGGGCAGGTGCGCAGGGCAGGTGCGCAGCGGGGTGGGCGTGGCTTGCAGGGGCTGGGCGGGGCCTGCAGACCCCTCTACACGGAAACAGGGCCTGAGACCCGCCAGGGAAGTGGTGTTGAGGGGCGTGGCCACGCAGCGGAGAATAAGGGGCGTGGCGCAGGGGGCGTGGCGCAGGGGGCGTGGCGCAGGGGGACGGGCAGGCGGGGCGCGGCGCATGCGTGGGGAAGATGGCGCTACGTCTGCTGCGGAGGGCGGCGCGCGGAGCGGCGGCGGCGCTGCCCAGGCTGTGAGTGCAGGTCCCCTTCCCCCGCCGCTCTGCCCGGCTCAGCCCGCGGCACCGTGGGTTTTCCCGAGTCCCGGTAGGAACCCCTGCGGGGCTGCAGTGCTGTGCGCCCCCGTGCGCCGGCCGACCTCTGCCTGCCAAGGTCGCCCCCTGCTCGCGCCTCCTGGTGGGACGTGGGTGCAGACCCGGACCGGGGGTGCGGACATTCGGTCTGTCAGCCCCGGAGAACGGGCCAGCCTCCTGTCTAACGGGACGCAGAGGTCCCATCCAGGGGCCCGGCGTCACCTCCTCTGCTCACCTAAGGAACGGGAGCACCTTCCCTCTTGGGTGCCGCAGGCGGTTCCCAAACTGCTCGGTCTGAGGACCCCGCTACACGTGAAAAGTGATCGAGGACCTCTAAGAGCTTTTGCTTGTATCTCGATTTTTACTGTATGAGGAATCAAAGCACTTTAAAAATACTTACTTAAAAATAACAAACCCATTGCCTTTTAACGCCAATGACATCTTTAATGTATAAATAACTATATGAAGTAAGAAGAGTGGCATGGCTTTATAGTTTTGAAAACCTCTGGTTTTAATAAAGGACAATTCTCCTATCAGCTGTCCTGGGGGAAATTGACAAGGAGATTTCGATCTCACACAGATGCGGATACTTGTTGGAAAAGGGAAGCCCTCCTAGACCCTTTCAGAGAGTAGGGCCTCCGGAACCCCCTCAGGTGTCCTCGGACCACACTTTGGGAACCGTTGGCCTACCACTTGCCTGAATACACCTTATCTCATTTGCCTCTTTGACCGCCAGGGGAAGAAGTCCAGGGACTTGTTTATAAAGGTGGGGAAACTGAGGCTCGGAGTTTGGTTCAGAAACCAAGTCCGTGGTTCCAGAACGCCTTACATTTGCTTGCTCCCTGCTTCCTGCCTCACCAGTGTCCCATGCCAAGACCGACCAGGTGAATGCATCCCGCCTTCCCATTTCCTACACCCAGGCCGGGCACAGGGCCCCGCCTCAGGGGATCGGCCCTGGAACCAGAGGAGTCATTGAGGTGTACATGCAGACCCTTCCAGAAAGTCTCTTTTCAGGCCTACGAAAATGTGCCTGTTCAACAGTGGGTCCAGTGACCACACGCAGTCACCGCCTTCTAAGGTGCTCGGTGCTCAGCGTACCGTGCTCTTCGCCTCCATTAGCCCTGGCTCATTCTCTACACACCTGCACACCCGACCGCGGCCCGGGCTGCAGGCTTCCATGCAGGCTGCTTTCCAGAGGCTACACCCTGAGGTAAATCCTCCCGTCCTGGTGTGTTCAGAACACCCGGGGATGGGAGAGGTAAAGGCGCCACATGAACTTAGGAAAGCCTGCTTAGAGTAAGGTGACCAGACGTCCCGCTTTTGGCGGGACAGTCCCGCTTTTTAACAATGTGTCCCGAGTCCCGGGGGCGTTTTAAAAAGAATCTTTCCAAAAATCGGGACTTTTTTTAAAACGCCGCAGGACGCGGGACAAATAGTTGAAAAGCGAGACACCTGGTCACCTTAGCTTAGAGGAAGTTTTCATTTCTACCCCAAGTTCATTTACATGATGGAGGTGAAGAGCACTGTATGCTTTTGCTGGCTTTTTTCCTCCGGTTTTTAGAGCATCAGCACCACTGCTGACTCCTCTTCCCAACCCTCCAACGTTTGCCCCTGTTGCAGTGCTGTTTGAGGCGTCCCTGCCCAGCCTGCCTCCAGCCCTGCTGCTCTCTGTGGCCGCTGCTCCGTTTATGTACTCTGCCCTCAAGTTGGGGGACCATAACTTTTATTAGGGGTAACGTTTCCATTAACACCCCCTTAGCTGATAGAGCAAAGAAATACATGTGTGTGTGTGAATAACAGTCCATGCATATACACACATCTACAAATATTTCTATATATAACCATCTGTAGCTACATTAGTCTAAACATGAATTCATATATAGGGTGTCCCAAAAATATATACATATGCACTTTGAATAATTATAAAGGCAGTTTATTAAAATACACTTCATTTTCAAAATTGAGCTATCGGGTGTTAAAGTGTGTAGAATTTTTTTTTTTTTTTTTTTTTTTTTTAGACACCTGTAGCCTCCACTTCTAATTCATTACTGTATGGCTCATTCTAGACTTCTCCCTTGCTTATTTGTAAAATTTCACTCCAAGCAGTGAGAATCCTGGACTCCACCATAGCCATCTAGTTACTTAATTGGTTAATTTCAGCATATTCATATAGCGGTATCTAAATTGTTAGACCATACTTCATGGGGGCAAAAACTTTATCAACTGTGGGGGAGAGGGGAAGAGTCAATTGGGGGAAAATAAGACAAATGTAAAACTTTAGACAATAAAAAAAAAACAACTTTATCAACTACAGTACAGTGCTTATGAGCAGGTCCTTTCCCGGTAGTCCTTCAGGTTCTGCTCATTTCCAAAGTCAGTTAGGCTAGCACCTTTTTCTCCCATCCCCTTCAATGAAGTTGTTTCATATCTTTGTACTACAGTTAGATTCTCTTGTCAGGGTCTGCATTATTTCCTGAGATCCCCCTACCTCCCAAATGATTTTTTAAAAATTGCATGTATTAAGGCTCACTCTTCTTGCTATAAAGTTCTTTGGGTAATGGCAAATGCATAATTTCATGTACTTACCATAACAGCATCATACAGAATAGTTTTACTTTCCTAAAAATTCATCTGTGCTTCGCTTATGCATTCACCCCCTTCCCCCACTTCAAACTCCTGGCAAGCACTGGTCAGTTTACTCTTTTTATACAGGGGTTGGCAAGAGTAGGTACAGTTGTGAGTATACAAAACACAGTTTATTCTTGTATTGAATTAATAATTTATTAATTATTGTATTACAACTGTACACCCACTTTTGCCCACCCTGTAGTTTTGCCCTGTTAGATTGCATCCCTTCACTTAGCTATAGGTATTAAGGACTCTCCATGTCTTTTATGTGCCCTGATAACTCATTTTCTTTTATTGCTGAATAATATTCCATTGTATAGATGTACCTATTGAAGGACATTTTGGTTACTTCTAGTTTTTATTGATTATGAATAAAGCTGCTATATTTGTGTACAGGTTTTGATTATAAATTTCAAACCAATTGCATAAACACCTGGAAGTATGAATGTATGGGAAGACTATATTTAGTTTTGTAGGGAGTACCAAGCGGTCTTCCAAAGTGGCTATCCCATGTGGCATTCCAACTAGGATGGTCCTGTTTCTGTTACTCCATATTCTTGTCAGCAATTAGTATTGTCAGTTAAAAAAAATTAGCCATTCTAATATATATGTTACTGTTTTAATATGTTAATTTGTTTTAACTTGAAATTGTCTGATGTTGAGCATTATCTGTATATTTTTGGTGAGGTGTCTATTCAGATCTTCCCATTTCTTAATTGGGTTCTTTTCTTATTGTTGAGTTTTAAGTATTGTTTTCATATTGTAGATATAAGTCCTTTATTAGATATATATATTGCAAATATTTTTTTTCTAGTTTGTAGTTTATCTTTTCATTTTCTTAATGGTCCTTTTCAAATAGCAGAAGTTTTTTATTTTTTTATTTTTTATTTTTTATTGATATTTTACAGAGAGGAGGAAGGGAGAGAGAGAGTTAGAAATGTCGATGAGAGAGAAACATCGACCAGCTGTCTCTTACACACCCACTACTGGGGATGTGCCGGCAACCAAGGTACATGCCCTTGACTGGAATCGAACCCGGGACCTTTCAGAAAACAGACCGATGCTCTACCACTGAGCCAAACCGGTTTCGGCAGAAGTTTTTCTTTTTTAACCATCAGTCATATCAGTTTTTTTCTTTCATGGATCTTGCTCTGGGTGTTATATTTAAAAACTCATTCCCAAATCCAAGGTTACAGTAGATTTTCTCCTACATTCCCTTTTAGAAATTTTACAGTACCGTGTTTATACTTAGGTTTATGGACCATTTAGAGTTAATTTCTATAATAGGTGTAAGGTTTGTATAATTCACTTTTTTGCATATTGATCCAATTGTTCCAGCCCATTTGTTGAAAAATCCCCACACTATCCTTTCTCCACTAAATTGCCTTTGTCCCTTTGTCAAAGATCAGTTGACTATATTTGTGTGTGTCTATTTCTGGCCTCTCTGTTCTGTTATATTGACCTATATACCTATTGTCAATATCATGCTGCTTTTATTACTGTAGCTTTATATTAAGTCTTGACGTTAGGTGGTGTCAGACTTCCAACGTAAGTCCTCTTTTGTATTATATTGGCTATTCTGAATCTTTTCCTTTCAACATAAACTTTATAGTCAGTTTGTTGATATCCACAGAATAGCTTGCTGAGATGTGTTTGGGATTGCATTGAATCCATAGATTAGGTTGGGAATAATTGACAGCCTAACATACTGAGTCTTCCAATCCTTGAACAGGAACTGTCTCTCCATTTATTGAAATGTTAATTTCTTTTATCAGAGTTGAATACCTCTCTGCACATATATTTTGTACATGTTTTGTTAGATATATGCCTAATTATTTCATATTTGAGGGTGTTATTGTAAATGATATTGTGTGTTAAATTTCAAACTTCAATTGTTCATTGATGGTATATAGCAGTGGTCAGCAAACTCATTAGTCAACAGAGCCAAATATCAACAGTACAATGATTGAAATTTCTTTTGAGAGCCAAATTTTTTAAACTTAAACTTCTTCTAAGGCCACTTCTTCAAAATAGACTCGCCCAGTCTGTGGTATTTTGTGAAAGAGCCACACTCAAGGGGCCAAAGAGCCGCATGTGGCTCGCGAGCTGCAGTTTGCCGACCATGGGTATATAGGAAAGCAATAGACTTTTTAAGTATTAATTTGTGTCCTATAAGTTTGCCATAATCACTTATTAATTTCATGAATTATTTTTTGTTAATTATTTTTTGTTAGACATGTCATTTGCAAACAAAGACAGTTTTTTTTAAAAAATATATTTTATTGATTTTGTGCAGAGAGGAAGGGAGAGAG